GTTAACTGGAGGGGTGAGCTGTATAATTAAAATTGCATTAAATCATGGTACTATCAAAGTTGAAAGTAGTTTGAATTTTTAAAATAAATAGTTGCCTCCATTGCATATGAGCATTCGTCGTCCTCGCGGAAAGCACTCGGGCATGGACGCTGGTGCAGAATGGGAGTTATACCTTTTGTCTTTTCCCCCACTGTGTCCCTAGAGACTTCCGTGCTGTGGTATCGTCGAAAACGAGGATGGGTGATGGTCACTTTCTGGTCGGGCCTTCGTTCCACCGTTTAATAATTGCTAATCGCATTGGATCGTCCCTGTGCTCAGTATCTGTGAGATATAGAGGATCCATGGACTCGGAAGCTTGTTTCGGTTAACTGGAGTATTTTCACCGGAAATGCTCCTTTCGGCGGAAAACTGACCCCCAATGTACATACAGAAGTTTACGTCAGCATCTCTAAGAGCCAAACACTTCTGAGTCCTATTGGCCTTGGACTAAATTCCAGTGTGAGTAACCGGTATCTTGAGTGTGTGGTGGCCTGTTGAAACCCTTGTGGAGAAGGCGATAATTATCCCTCTTATCACCCATGCCCTTTAATTGTTGCTATTTATGACCGTCAGTCGTACTCCCCACGAAAGACAAGTCTGACATATAAGGTGGTCTTTTATGGTCGCCTAAGCAGGACGCGGAGATAGGAACGCTCCGCGCACTTACAATAAGTGGCCTTGTGACCATTTTCAGGAAGGGCAAATATTCCCTTACCTTGGAGGCCAAGATCAAAATGGAGAAATCCCAAACCTAATATGTCCATAATTCGGCGCAAAGTCGCATATGTTGTAGGCGATCACCGTTCCCGACCATACAGGTCATCCGTATCGTCTTAAGGACTCCCCCAACACTAGCAGGCCAAATGCCCCCTAATGACGCTTTCACCTAAAATTATGTCGCTACCCTGATCACCGTCTCTCTATGGGGGGAGGGGGGGGAAGAGGTGCCGGCTGATGAGGCCTATTCGGGTACTGTCGCACTGGCACACAACTGCCCGAGTGACAAAAGGTTGGAGAAGAACTCCCCACTGCCAATTAAACGTCCTCTCCTAGGTATGACGCCGGTAGTAACGTTACAGCAACTGTGACTGCCTCTCTCTCCTCGTTTGCAGTCCAAGCCTAAAACTCCACTGTTAAACAGGGACTCATAACATCTTCACCGCTGCACCTTCCGCGGCTTTGTATACTAGGAGAACATAGCGACATTAATGAACTTACAAGAGGATTTTGGCCATTTTTAATTAATAATTTTACCCCGTTTCGAAAATATTGGTTATCGCGGTGGGATTCAAAACCACGACAGTAAAGAAGAAGGCCGTAGTATGGCCATCTGAGTTACGTACTCCGCCAGAGGTCGTGAGTTCAATCACACTTGGGTTAAGTTATACGTCTGCCCTACTGCAAAGTATAGATCGAGAGGAAGAAGCTGTGTCGAACGCCGGGACCCGTGTAAGCTATGGGACAGATTAGACATTGTATGCGATACACTACGTCCGACTGCTCGTTAGTATTCAATCAATCCTTGATTCTCATGACACGGCTGCGCATTGTAGCCCTGGGACGGTGTGCAATTCCGATGCCTAGTCCCGCGGCAATGCGTTCGGTCGCTTCCAACACATCCTTGATGTATGGCAACGCATGCCAAATCGTAGAGGTTGTTTATATTTGGGTCCTCGGAGGGCGAGCACGTAGGCATCGGCTTATGAAGGCCTTAGGATAGCCATTCCGCCTAACCTGATCGTGGAAGACGACGAACACCACACAGATTCTCAGTTTTCATAGCAATCATCCGGTTGCTCACAAACGCAGCTGTGTGAGGACGCTGTTCAAAAGAATCCAGAATCACTGCAGTAACCCGGAAGAAAAAGTATGTGAGGCCCGACATCTCCACGACCAGTGCGGGACTAGGCGTCGGAATTGCACACCGTCCCAAGGCTACAATACGCAGCCGTGTCATGAGAATCAAGGATCGATTGAATACCAATGAGCAGTCGGACGTAGTGTATCGCATACCATGTCTAAACTGTCCCATAAATTACACGGGACAGACGGTACGCAAGCTGGGTTCGCGCATACACGATCATAAGCCGGCTGTTCGACGGGGTGACACATTATCGCATGTGACGGCCCACACCTACGAGAAGGTTAGGAGTTCAACTTCGCAGCCGCGAGGATAATTGCCCACGCTGGCAGCAAGACGGGCAGAGAACTGATTGAAGCCTGGGCATCGGATGACAACTCAGTTAACCGATGTATCGAGCTGGCGCCGGCATATGTTGCCCTACGCAGGTATTTCCAGACTCACGGCACTGGTAGTTAATTGGTCCTCTCCCCCCTCCCCTATGACGTTTAATTGAACCTTCCCTTATAAACGATGCTTGTTTTCGTTGACGATTTTACTTCTGTAAATATTCCCACCCAACACGCCGATCTCGCGCAGACTGACATATTCCGCAGTGGCCAATCGGCGCCCACACCAGACAATTATTGATTTTCTACACGCCGCAACTGGCCCCCGATTTGTTGCTGTTCCCAAATCTATGACGATGGACTCATGTAGGGGTTCGAAAGCTCAGACTAATAAAACTATGATCCCGTTGTTCGACACAGCTTCTTCCTCTCAATCTATACACGTACTTCAGATGCGAGACTTTATCTCAACTACTGCAATGTATGAAATTCGCAAACTCTGATAGAGCAATTTGACTGTTCAAGTAGGATTTACTAAGCCATCAATCCATCAGATCACAACCAGGTTGCACGGATAACTTGATCCAAAACTTCTTAGTTCCAGCAAAAGTTGCACATAATTGGCACTTGCTAAATTTTGCAGTAATTTTCTAAAAAGTTTGGCTTTTCGACGTGTGATGATTGTGAGGATCGACATATGATAGACGCCTGTGACCTGCTGATGCCTTATTGCTGCTTATTCAGCAATTTTACCTTCTAAGGCTATTGAAACATCCTCTTTTACGCTTGAACAAATTCTTTCCAGTCTAAAAATGCTGTCAAGCCGCTTGGAGAAACGCCCAGCGATATACGCAATTTAAGTGACGACAGTAGCTTTTCTAGTAGAATACCAGGACGCTTATTCTCTCTTTCTACGCCTTTGGCGCTATTATTTTTTGAGGTCATTTAATTATGTATCGCCATCTTATCTTCACCACATGCTAAGACTGACATCCATAAAATAGACGTTTGCATAGGCATTTTAGGACACGAAGAATACGCATTGTTTAGACCTCAACATTACACCTTCTCTTCATAGTCAGATCTTGGATCCTGCTACCATCAAGTCGCCACATTTGC